CGATATGGAGCTTTGCAAGTTAGTGTATTTCCAGGTATCACCTCAATCTTGTGTTCTACTCGCGTCTTTGGTAGTAATCATGAAGGTAAATCGTATAGAATAATATCATTATATTCCATAAAAATGTTGTTCAAGAACTCCGGGATGTAAAGTTTGTCTGAAGACCCAATATCTCTTATAAGTTCAAGGAAACATACATCAATCTAGAAATCTAGACATGCCTTTTCTTTGCTTTGTGGAACGAATAAGGCCGCAAGAAAAGTTTATTGGTGATCTTTGTTTTCCGAAACTTCTTTCTCAACCTCTTCAAACTCTATCTCCTCCATGTTATTGAACGGTCGTCATTGTATGGGTCGTCCTCCTTGTGGTGCTGGTCGAATTCAAAAAGATTTGGCAACATGATCCATTCGTCCATAAGCATAGCATTGACAATTGTCACGAACTGCCGTTTCTTCTCAAACCATTTCATTATTTGCATCACCTTCTTGCAAATTTGAAACTCTTGGTCATCAAATCTCACCTTCAAATCTTGGAGATATACTCTTGTTGGTGCAAAACCTTCTCTAGATCAAAGATTTTTCAACTTCATCGGAGTTGGGCTAGATGGATTTCAAAAATTGCTTATTGGTTCACCATGTGTGACATCATAAGCACCCAAAATTTGTTGAGCAATTGAGATTAATTGATTCACTAAGGATGAATTACTTACCATCACCTTCTTTTGAATTTGATCCTTCAAGCCTCGTTTGAACACATCCAACGCTTCTGCTCCACTCATATCTAAGCCTCGCCAAGGTAAGGTATAAGTTAACCGGGTAAGGCATGGACCTCTATCTTTACCCTATCTTTTACGTTACACGCAACACTATGGTCTACTTTTACCCTTTACCTTTACCTTAGGGTAATTACCTGGTTAATTGGTACGTATTTAAAAGGTTTAAAAGTTACCCTTAACGTTAATCTATAAGGGTTACCTGGTAATTCTACCTTTACTAGTCTGATATTCGCAGCTTACCAGGGGATGTGACAGTAGTAGGGAAGTTGGCTGTGGAGGAAATGGCAGAGTTTTTTGAACTTGCAAGAACTGAGACACTCACTGTGCAGCGCTTTTTCAAGCTAAGTCAAAAGTCAAATAAACAAATATATATATTTTGAGAACATTTTTGCAAGACCGTACTTTATATTGGCAGGAGTATTCCACAAAAAAGTACCTTGTCAAGAATATATTTGTGAAGCAATTGAGACTACTATGATAAAAGTGGCTTGACAGAAGCCGAATAGGAGTATACACAAGATTACAATTTGTAAGTTGAACCACGGGTAGTGACACACAATAACTTATCTACTAAAGTGAGTCTAATTCAAAATAATTAATCCTTTTCAACATTGCATAAAAACATTGTAAAACCTTGCATAAAACCAAGCAATATTGAAGCTTATTTGTGTATATTTAAAATCGCAAATAACTTCAAAAGGTGAAGGTTTTGTTTGATCAGGTCAAAGTTCTGACGATGATTTTTTTCTTTCTATGGACTGCAGTTGGAGGAACTGTAGCCTTTTCTTTGATATGTGATGGCAAGGATGTTGTCATCTGGGCAGAGAGAGATGAATCCATTGACGCTTTCAGCGTCAATGGACAAATGATAATTTCTATCTTACTTTTACAAAGATAAATCATAGTAAGATTGACTAGTTATTAATATGTGGCAACATGCGATTGGCCTCCTACACATTCTAGATGTTTACTAATTCGTAGATTGAGCTGGCGACATGCCATTTGTGACTTTCCAACTTCTGAAATTTCCACTTTCCACTAAATCAACATTAGACTTAGTCGAACCAATGGAGTACATCTTACTAAGTCAAACCTATCAAAACTAAACATGAAGTCAAAAGTATTTTCTCTTGGAATCTAGACTTTTGTACAAGACAAAATAGAAATCATAACTCAAATCTTATAGAAATTTTCTAGTTATTCCGCCAAGTGTAGACATTATAGCTCACCATTATACAGACACAGTTATAACTAGCTAGACTTAGTCATAACTATCCTAACCATGATTAACCCCTTGGCTAATTCTAGTTTCATCTCACACATGCAATATCCTGTCTTACATGCTGAAGATCTTTGGACTTCAGATAAATAGACTTTGGATGTATCAACATAGTTGGAAGAGCCAGCGGTGGAGCCAAATTCGATGGAGGAGTTTAGTTGCGAGTGGTGGCAGAAGTGGAGAGGACTGTTGCGGGACAACATGCACTATCTTTGTGTCAGATCCTTGGGTATAGTTGATTTTGACTGTGGGGAAGTACCTTCGGCTGAAGAACCAAAAATAATCGAACTTAGTGTAGTTTTGAGCAACAATTTGAAAAAAGGTATAGTTCCCTTGCTCAAATATTTGGATGGGAAGATGGCAAAGTACTCTAAGCCAACATTAGCAGATCCTACGTAGAATTAGTGCGTTGTAGGACGAGGACGAACGTGGCAGCATCTATGGAGGCAGCTGAAAGAGTGGCGAGCAAAACCTCTAAATACGCGACCGTGATGGCTACCTTGCATGAGCGGGATGAGCAACTTTGGCAGAAGGAGTTGGAATGTGCATAACTTCCAAGAAGTTTAGCAACGGAGAAGAATCTTCATGCAAAGGTAGAGCTTGAGTTCACGGCCCTTCGGATCGATATCAACAATGAGCAGAGTATAATGGTGGGACAAATTGAATATGTCTAGGAAGGAATTTGAGAGGGAACTCAAGCGCACGGAGGAGCTGATGGCAAGAGATCAATCGCATGCTACTGAATTGATACTTAAGGCGAAGAAATTGCAGGATTGCGAAGCTGCCCGGTTTTAGAGTTAGAGTGTCCGGAGGAGTTATATATGGATTGCAGCAAATTGCGATTTCAATTGTCGGCAGTTGAGGAGAAGTTGGTCGTGGCTCAAGCGAAATTGTTAGAGACGGAGAAAACAGTCCAGCAATTAGAGCGGCGGACTGATGTTGCGTTGTGCGTGAAAGTAGATCCATGTCTTCGCGGGTATGTGGAGTGGGAGATCCAGACCCTGAAGTGGATGAAATTGGATGAGTTGGAGCGTTGAGTGAAAGAATTGACAGTCAGCGAGGTTGCATGACATCGACAGTTAAGTAAGAAACTCAATTTGTTCATCTCTGGTTTGGAGGAGACAAAGTAGAACTTAGAATTAGATTTGTCAGCCGTTTTGGGTAGGATAGGAGTAGAGAAGAGCTCACCGCATTTGCTGACGTCGCACTTGATGGGAGCTCGCAGCTAGCGGATGATGTCTCCGAATATTAGTTGTGAATAAAGAGGTCAAAGGCTCTGCCTTTGACAGGCTTTTCTATTGGTTCATTTCTCGATCTTTAATCTGCATTCCTCTTCGCGTTAGTGATTTGTGCGTTTTGTCAGCGTGGGCGAGTTGCTTAAGTTTGTCGAAGTTGTCGTATTTGAAGTAGAGAGTCAAATTCGGATGTTCTGAGTGGTGCATGGTGTAGCTCAAGATTTAAGCAAATCTATACATTGGAAACTCGGAGGAATGAGTTGAATTTATAATGTTAGAAATTTCTTCCATGAATATTAATTGCAGAGTCGAGTGCGGCTTCTGTGGGAACTTATTGAATGAATTTCAAGATTCGAGTGTAATTTCATTTTGCAATGAGTCGCCTTAGCCCGTAGCAATTGCAATCTCTTCTCGTAATGAAAGTTGTATAGGAAATAAAACTTTTCAATTAAATATTAATTTATGATTTTACTTGATATTCATGGTATCAAATTTTTATTATTATTCTCCATTTTGGTAATTCTCTACTATTATAGAAGCCAAATGTTTAGTTAGTATCACTGCATCTTATACATTAAATTACCAAATTATCATCTTGAAATTCAAAAGATTCTTTTCATACATAGATTCTTAAAAATATGAAGATGTATTATGCAGTTTTTGACTATGTAAATTTCTTTATATTTAAATCTAAAACTATCAAACAAGATGGTAGAATTTGATCAAATATCGAGCACTCTACCTTATACTTAAGATACAAAGTTAAAAACCTCACCCAAATTTGAATGTTTGCAAACGATATATATCCAATAATGTAGTTAAAGTTAAAATGTTGACAACATGTTGGATAAAACATTGAGTGAGTACCACATAATGTTTTCATGTATCATACAATTGGTCACAAGGTCCTCAATTAACATTAGGAGAAGAATATTTTCATCTTCTGAAATAACTTTTAATTTTATTTTATTTTAAAAAAGTTGACTACAAAGGGAAACGACGAGTTCTTATCCAAGGATAGTTTAAAGATTTAGGGACTGTTTTATTCCAAAAAGGTTGGATGCGGCACCGAAGTGACCTTAGAGTTCGTTTCATTTACCTGTGTAGTCACAAACACAACACTATTCAAGATAACGAACTGATATCTTGAAATTTAACCAAAATTCATGATAACAAAGATCACAAGTCTTTATCAAGGCAGGCGCTAGATAGCAGTTTAAGTTGATTATCCCTCACCAAGAAAACGGGAGGAGCAGTGCAAACTAGGGTGAAGGATAATTAACCCCTCCCTTTGTCAAATTTAAAAACTTAAAACTTCAAGTTGCAAAATACATTTCGAATGAAAATATATCATTGTAACCAATTACTTCCGGTTTCTAACGTCGTGCGATGATTTGTACTGTGTTTAAACACATGCTTCTCATGTGATGCAACCAATCTAAACTCCTTTCGAAGATAACTCTTCGATTTTCACTGGAATAATACTTTCATTACACCAATATCATGCGTCGGTATCCGCGCATCAATCCGCGCATTTGTTCCCGGTCATGATTTTCGAGCATTACCTTACATAACATGGAAATCAAACCAGAGGTATGACGTGTTTGAACTATTTCTTGGTATTAAATGCATGAGTCTTCGATCCTAACAACAAAGATTGATCTAATGAATAGTTTTGACAAATGGAAAAAGGAAACCAAGGTGTTGTAGAAGATAATCCTAAGGCAAGGTCACTTGCAACTTAATTTAAGAAGCTATTTCAATTAGCTGAGGCTTGTATACACTGGCTTTCAAGCAGCCACGGGTGGATCCCTTCGAAGGGTCTACACCCCATTTCCTAACGACCAATGGTCCGGCCCCGCTTCTTCTCTTGGCCCTTCTGCTGCCCGCCACGACACAGACAGATAACATCTTCAGAAATTAAGAGTAAAGCAGGATTTCTGTACAGGTGCACCTAACTCGCCTCCAATACCCTCTACCCTAACCCCTTACGGCCGATCTACTGCCATACACTACCACCATCCATCGTTCGTCTATCAAGGTGCTCACAAAAATGAATGAAGAACCTATCTCCCTCCTACAATGTTCTAATAAATGTGTGCAATACTCAAAGATACACACATACTCCTGCTTTCATGACCTGCCTTGCAATATATCGAATTCTGCCTAATTTCTCTATCCACTAGTCGGTCATCTCGGAGCTTGATCAGAATTTTGAATGGAGGTTTGTCCAGACACGCTTGAAGGTCCTCCATTATCGGAGGGAGGACCAATGCCCCACTTTCCCTCTGATTCCAAAGGTTCGATAACCTGAACAGCCCCATCACTCAACCCCAGCGCAAACTGGTTGGCTTCAGAAGGATGTGCTGCGATCACAAGAGGATATGCAGTAGCTCTGCACAAGACAATCAAACGTTCAGCAAATTAATATGAAATTCTCAATATGAAATGTAGTAATTTCTGAAAAAGCAGTCACTCAGATTTAAACATGAGGAAATCTTACCCGCTAACACCAGGAGGAATGTGGACCGATGCCGCCAAACGACAACGTGGACGTAGACTCTCCGCGTCAAAAACACCGATGGATCCATCTACGAATCCCGCATATACCAACTGACTATCGCAGGAATAAGTTGCATTTGAAATTGAAGCTGTGAAAGAATCTCGCGGTACCCACTGCAACCACGTAACAGACGATCCATTTCAACTCATAACCTCATAGTAAGAATCCATTAAACTCGATACAACTCGTCCAGACAATATCATCCACAACCCTTCAAAAGGAAAAACCACTCAATAGTGAAACGGGCGTAAAACTTAGCACACATGAAAAGGCTTTATATTCATATCTAATAATGTGAATCTATCGCACAACAAATACTTACAACAGTTACTTCCCCACTAAGAATTCCTAGCAAGAATATTATAAAATCCCACAAACAAACCATGATAAACTTACATAACGAATGCGTTCCAACTTCGAAGCGTCGTATATTGCGAGTTGTGTCTCATGTACTACAAGTAGCCTGATCTGATCATTATGAAACTGTACTCTGGTGTCACCCACAGGTTGGGGTGCACGTCCTGTTTGGATAAATTTCGCCTTTCGCTTCTCCCAACCATCCGTACCCCATACACACAACTGCAAACACAGATGTAAAAATCAATCAATAAGGAAACCCCAAAACACTACGGTGAAAACATTGTACAATTTAAGTTGCGAGGTTGAATTCAATATATACATACCTGTGCGTCTGCACCAGAAGAAACCAAAACATTCAAAGCATTTGAAAATGCCAATCCTGTAATTCTCTTCTGATGTCCTTTTAATTTGCTCTTAACCTGAAAAAATAAACCACGATTACAAGCTTGAATTTATTGTGCGATTATGTGGACAGAACGGATTTGCATATAGAGGATTAGCAGCCTCGATAAATCACAACAAGCATGATCAAATTAGAATCGGTATCAATATAGTATGCATGTAATAATATAGAATATTATATTTGTTTGACTAATCCAATCGAAGTGAAAATCAAATTCTTTTCGATTAGAGAAATAGAAAACGCTTAAATTTTGAGAAATGGCTGTTGAATCTCTATCTAATTGCACATTAAAAAATACCTCGTTAACTCTCTTACTCCAGTTAACAAGGAAATCAACTTCTTTAAAAACTCTCCATCTGGTATAGAAAAGCCTCTTTTTGAACAGTCAAATTCAAATTGAAGAATCTCTCCTTAAACTCTCCCTTACCACTCTCCCTCCATTTTGACTTCTCCTTACAACTCTCCCTTCAAATTGTCCACATTTGATCAAACGTTGCCAAAACTTATAGTGGCAAGTCCAAACTAATTAAAGAAAAGAAATTAAGATATTTTCAACTTTGAGAGTAAAATTAAGTTACCTCGTCTACCCTGACGTTGTAAATCTGTATAGTTGAATCCTCCATCCCTATAGCAATAATGTTGTTGTCTTGAGGATGGAACGCAAGAAAAGTTGCCGCAGGTGGTGGCGGCATAAATGTGGTCATAACCTGTATTCATAAAAAGGCCAACAAAGATAAATGTGAAGTCTATCAAATTTTTTCATCGTTCAAGATAAATATTAATAATTCAGGGGAAAAAAAACTTTTATCGACTCCAACATCTTACTCGAGACACAGCCGTAATACAACTAATGCATACCTTAAAGGTCATCATGTTGAACAATGACACTTTTCCTCCAGATGCTGACATGACATACGAATCATTCTTTGAAAGCGCAATACAGGGTACTGCTTCCTCCGGATTTGAAGAGTTGTCGCTTATATCGTTGGTCATAAGAATACCACTCGCTGGTTGCCAGAGTTGGGGTGGTACAGTTGCCGTGGCCTGCAGATGTCCACCTTCAAGTATTAGTCGACACTACTCTCAACATATACATACAATCTGTAGTTTATAAGTGACAGAACTAGAAATGACGATTTATAACAAGTTCAGTGATGATGTCATACCTTTCCAGTAAGATTACGCTCAGTGCGTTGCCACTTCCATAGCTTATGAACGGCACTCGAGCAAAGAGCTAGCAGTGCCACTCCGGAGTTGGTGTAAATCAACCTCGATATCTGCAAGGAATCAACAAAAAAAAGAGTTACATATTCTTGACCTTAATGAAAATTGTTATCCATTATTGTAATCGGTAAGTGAAAACAGATAAATATTGATAACTAGGTTACTTACCTTGCTTGCAGGTAAAGTGTCAGGAAGTCTAGTCGACCTACATTGACCTGGATCAGATATCTCAGTCAACTTCCAACTCTTAACTCTGTCCGTCAAGTCTTCTGGTACCCTTGGTTTTTGTTCTGGAGGACGATTGTTGTCGACTCCATTCTGCATATATCGAAGAGGAGAAGAGCTTTTCAGTACATTCAGATTCGATTGGAATTCCTATACAAGAAGTCTCAACGTCTACAAAGTTGTCACATATCGCCAAGGTAAAATTCACCACAATTCACCTAGTACTACTTCTCTCTTTCCTCATTAACATGTACTCCCAAACATACACTTCCTATGGTGAGTTTAAATTCAATCTCCTACACGTTACTAGCACTCACTAAACAAACAACTCATTCCAATCCTTGCACAAAGATTTATGCAGACCAAATATTAAAGCCGAACCATCTTAACCACAATCCCAACCTAACAACACAGAAAGCAGAAACCAACAGGAATACTATAAAGGGCATGACATGTCCAAACAGAACAAAAACACACAATTCAGTCAATACCAGACTGAACATAAAACAGAGTGCAGAAACGACCGTAATTCTGGTCCAGACTCCCTACCCCGTCGGCGTTTCGTGAAAAATTGGTCGGATTTGAAAGGGTCACATGGTCATTTCCACCCCTGTCCCGGGGACGCGCCTGGCCCACAATCAGATTTGACCCGTCCATCGATGGACCCGCCATTGTGGCCGAGGCAGTATTTCTGTCGGGTCGATCCGGACCTCCAACAGGAGGTCCGGAAGGCACACTACTAACCGCCGTCATAGAGTTTACTCCAGGTGCCTGCAGAAGAAAATTATAAATCTTAGATCTACTTTATAGTTCATTGCAACGTGCATCCGGAACCTTGCTGCAACACCTGCTCAAAAATTCAAATATTAAGAAGATTTAGACCAATTCCCTTTCAGTTCCTTTCTTCACCAAAGATTTCATTGTAGTTATTAACTTGGAAGATTGAGTTGAGGAAGGAAGCTTGCAGTTGGAAAGAAACATAAGTATAATGAATGCACCAATATTGCAAGCAACCCTCTATGTTTCAGCCTCCACCAACATGTTTGAGTGCATTCAACCATGAGATCTCCAATGTAAAAAAGCTCTTGAACTATTTTCAGTCCCACCCACAAAAGAAGTACCACATCTCCAACGCATATGAAACAACACAACAGTTAGTCGCAGATCTCCATGGCACATAGCATTTTAGCACAAAATACAAAAGTTCCACGCAAGTCAGTCCCGCATATCTCAAGGAAGCATATAGCCTTGTTAATTCTTCTGTCTCTCCGAAGGCATGTAGCCTGATCTAAGTATCGTCCTCAGATGGCACAAAACCTTGCAATCAAAACCAGGTCTCCGATGGCAAACGTCCGTCCAACCTCCCCGGTCGCGTATATCGTTCATGACGTCCCATGTATAGCAGATAGCCCTTTTTTAGTCTCATTTCTCGATGCATACAACGTTTGAATTACGAGAAGTAGCCATCTGAAATTATATACAGGTCCCTCCGCACCTCAGTCCAAAATCTCTGACGGGCAACAATTTGAGAACTATGGACACGCTCTTATCGCAAGGAAGCCCGATATCAGCTAAGTGCGAGAGCCTTGAGTACCAACAGAATCTGCCTGGACAGAATTCCAATAAGTCTGATAATTCTGAGCCGTGTGAAATATGGACAGAAGCTTCTCGCATATTAGTCAAACGTCTCCAACGTTAAAGATCTCGGAAAGCTTTAGTACACGGTCCAAAGTCTTCGATAAAAAGCAGTTGTCACAGTCTGGATAAACGATGTCCAGAAACAAGAGGGATGCAAGGGTTTCAAGGAGATCCCAAGAAATCATGTCTGTATGGAGACTTTTTATGCTCATGTCTTCCCATGCTTACCTTGGTAACAGCAGGCTCTGGAGGTCCTCGGGTATTCTCGAAGGCTCTGCTCTCGAATGCTCTCAACAGCCTCATTCCATCAGAGTTCGCAAGAATCTTGATGCCATTATCAGCGGAAGTCACAGCCAGCAGTGATCCCTCTTTGTTGAACCGTAGCCTTGGACTGGCCTGCAATCATTCAGTCAAACCGGCAATTTCAAAGACTGTCAACGGCAAGAAATCTTATAAAGATAGAATTAAAAAGTAAGCTCAATGAGCTTGAGACTTATGGAATTCTTTTGCGTGGCGACGACTTTCAACCGTTGAATGTGAGAGAGTCAGCAGAAGACTTACAGGCAGACCACCATCAGCCTCAATAGTAGTCAAAAGGTTGACGTTATCCATATCCCAAAATTTGATGAGAAACTCATCGCCAGCAGCCAGAAAACGATTCCGTGTAGTGTCAAACTGCACAACACCCAACGATCTCTTGCGGAACCCAGAGTACGTTCGCTTGATGGCTCCTTCGCTCTCATTCCATTCGACAAGATAAGACTCACCCTCTTTACTTGTACCGCAAGAGAACAATCTGGAGCGAGTAAAAAGTTCAGTCATTAGATGTTAAAGCTGCAGATACCTCGCAAGTCACCCAGAGAGAAAATGTCCGTGGAAGACATGGAAGAAGAATCAAACATCTACCTTGTTCCGTCGGCGCTGTACGCCATTGTTGTACACCAATGGCCAGGAGCATCGTAGTCCACTCGAGATCCCAAGAGATCATACAACCACGCCTTGATTTTTCCATCGATAGCAGTGGAGAAGATAAACTGATCACCAAAAGCCACAAAATACGGTTAGATTGGGAGTTGGAATATAAGCAAATATCTTCACTTCTTCCCTTCAGTGCGGAACTTAATGACTTTTTATATAAGTACCTGAATGCTCTCTTTGTGATGAGGACACACAGAGTACACAGGAGCCTCATGCCCTTCAAAGGTGTAATTCTTTCGCCCAGTGACTGCATCCCACACCTGCAAAAGACTCGTAACCTCAGCGTTTCTTGTTGGTACTTCGCTACCATATATTGCGAAAAGAAAACTGAAATGATCTCCGCGAAGGAACTGCTAGCTAGAGGGCTTCAATGCAAACCTTTATGGTTTTGTCATCACCACATGTGATGACGCAGAGTTGTTTGTTAGGATGAGAGAACGCAAGATCATTCACCCCGCCAACATGTGCGTCAATCTGTGTTAGGTCAGAAGTCAGGTTTCGTTACCATTTCAAATAAACAAATCAAAGGACAAGAATAGCTCAAGAAGTTGTTACTGTCATTCTCAAAAAACGAGCTCACTGACCTCCAAATGTTGCCTCAAATCGCTCCCTCCGTTGTAGGCGTAGATATGGACAATGTACTTGGAAAATGCAACACCTGTTCCCAACAGAATTATCATTCAATCGCAGCTTTCAGATAACTCTCTTAAAAAGTGACACGCAACTACTGTGAGATAATAAACGTAGATCGCGAACTCTTACCGAGCAAACTTCCATCTGGACTCCACACAGTCCGATTGACAGCAACAGCCGGATCTTTGACAAGAGCAGCCTAGGCACAATCACGGTACAGATTGTCAGGTGCCAACAACAAAGCCATAGACAATTTTATATCAAATTGCACAAGTCTTGTCTTCTACAATATCAGGTGAAGTAAGGAAAGTGAAAACCAACCAAAGAGCGAGAATCAATCCACGTCAACTTACTTGTAAAGGCATACCACAAACTGAAAGGTCCCAAACTTTGAATGTCCTCTGCGCAAGCCTATCTCTCGATCCAACTTCCCAGATACCAATATCGCCAACATTCGTTCCAACTGGACAAGAAGCAAACAGTCCACATGTCACATCATAAACCTCTGGGATCTAAGTGTACACAAAACAAAAAATCAAACTCAACGCACCTAGCAATACTGTCTGTTGGACGGGATGGAAATCCATGCTCATAACACAAGAGCCCTGATGAAGAGTCCTGGCAACATTCTTGGGAAGATCGTCTGGAGTGTAAGCATTTTGTGGGTGGCTGGGACCACCAGCATTGTACACTTGCTGCATAAATAACAACATCTTGCGTAAGAGGTTGCTTCCAAATTGACAAAGTTCAATTAACTCTATCCTGAAAAAAAGACACAAATAAGATATTGAGGAAGAAGTACAGTGATGATTTATACCGCTTTCACCTCCTCAACTGGCTGGCCACCAGGTCGTGGTCGTTTCATGAGATGATCAGAATCGGCAGACTGATAATCCACTGCAGGAGCGTTTGATGGTGGAGTGCGAGGCCTCTTCAATAAAGCTAGAATTTAAAAGTCACAAAACCAATCATAGGTGTCACCAATAATCAATATTGAGAGAATTCCGATACAATAAGAGTTGAATACTTGTTACGAACGCAAAACATGTCTAGATTCGCTTGGAAGCCACCGTAATGGAGCATGTAGTGGAAGAATGAAAATTCGTGAAGAGAGCCAGACTACTAAGTTACCTGGATTCGGAGAGGGAGTAAGAGCAGCTGGTCCAGCTGGAACGGCGGCGTGGGGAGCGGCGGTGTTGGGATTGGCCATCCAACCGGCCAGTGCACTAGCGGAAGGCGCTGGGGTTGGCTGGAAAGGCTGCAGCTGAACGGACTGAAATCAGGGTATACAGAGGCGGCGTCAGTACACTTACTCAAAAGTGTAACCAAAAGTAAAGTCGGAACTTCAAAAACTGTGAAAGCCTTCATTAAGAGCTACAACTAAGGCAGAAAGTCGGAAATAGATGAGAAGACGTACATTATGACTACCAATCGGTGGGAATGTTCCTCCCTTAGGCAGAGTGCCAACAAGTGGGTTGTTGGCAGGTGGTGGAGCGCGTGCGCCATTCGGAGGGCCGCATGTGTGGTCGATGAAAAGAGTCTTGATGTCAGGATTCGGCCTGGGATTTTTGCACAACTGGTGCTGCCAATTCAGGCTAGCGGCGAAACGTTTCGACAAAGGTCAGATGTGGAGTTTGAAGTGAACAAAGACACAAATGTCAAGCATTCAAGACCCTCATTCATGGCGAAGATATTGCTACTAGTATTTCACCATTTCCACAAACAACAAGAACCGCAAGACTTCCGGCATCCACAGTAAACAAAACGAACACAAAAGCTTGATCATCATGGGCAATATTTTGCCCACCTGGTGCTGCCAATTCGGGCCAGTACCAACACATTTCAACACAAGTCAAATGTGCTGTTTGGATAGAACAAAATACAGACGGGTCAACTATTCGAACCCCTCTTTCCTCGCAACGAAATTCTACCAGTATTCAGCAGTTTGCCAGAAACTGAGAAGCGCAAGACATCAGACATCCACCGAACAAAAGAAGACAAAGCTATACCGTCATGTGCGGATATTTGTACAGCTGGTGCTGACAATTCAGGCTAGCAGCAACACATTCCGACAGAAGTCAGAGTGGTGTTCGTCGAAAGCGAACACAACAAAAATGTCAAGCATTTGAAATCCTCACTTGGCGCGGCGAGATTGCTGACACTAATTTCAGGTTTGCAGAGAACTAAGAAACGCAAGATTTGGGACATCTTCACAACAAAAGACGTCAAGCTATGTCATCAGGGGCGTTTCCAAGATAATCCCCTATCCACCAAGGCGACTAAGATTTATCGAACAAGTTTGCCACAGGCCCTTGCCGGCAAACAGTCAGGCGGAACGGGTTGACGCCTACGACCTGAGACCTTTGCGGCCTGCACGACAGAGGGCTCTTGCCAGTACCTCCGAAACCAACAGCTGGTTGCGCAAGTCCAAAATGATGCCAATGAAACTGAAGGCAAGGTATATGGAGTCTCGCTGTACAGCAAACAAATTCTAATCGCAAGCTAGCTTCGAACCCAATCAGTCAGACGACTCAGAAATTAAGGAAGGAGTGAGTACCTTTGATTGATAAGGGTCCTCAATCGGGACGCCTTCAGGGCCGGGAATGTGAGCTTGTCACGGAACAACGGATTTGCTTCAATCAGCTTCTTCAACTCGATGAGCATGATGTTTCTTGCCGACTTTGTGTCTCCGTACTTAGACAACTGCTCGTTCTCCCTGCAATAAGCGGAAACTCTACTTCAAACAGCAGACACAGTGTTCTTGCATCGCAACATACTCCTGAGTCTACATTCGCCCATCGAAGAACGCCAGGGTGCCATTGGACGCCAAAAGAGTAGCTACACCTTGAACTTCGAAACTTACCGAAAGTTCTCCAGAGTGAGAAGCTGGGTAATCTCCTTGTACAGTTCTTCGTTGAAAGAGGAGAAAACTTTCAAGTCTTTCACCAGAATATCCACAGCCTTCGCTCGATCTTGCCTGGAAAACCACAATGTCAGACGACACATCGTATGCAAAAGACATTGCACACGTTCAAACCTTCGCCGAAAGAAGGAAAGCAGATCCTCGACGGAAACTTAAATTTCAGCACGACACAACGGAGCCTCGAGCCCGAAGGACATGATTCGCAACTCACTTGTCCAGAGCCTCCAGGTACTTCTGTTTGCGGATCTCGAAAAAGATCTTCATGGAGTAACGGTTATCATCGACTTTGGTGAACCCAGACAAGTAGCGTTCGACCTCCTCCCATTCACCGCCCTGGACCTGGTCCTCGAAGTACTTCATGTTGAAGAAGAAGCCCGACTCCTGCTCGAGCCTGCAGCACATGTCCACGTCAATCGTTACCACGCGCCCGGAGGAGAAAAGCGCCCGGCAGAAACTCAAAAAGCACGAACGCCTCGAGGCGCGGGGCAAAGAGATTCCAACAACTCACTTGTGGACGGTTTCTTTGAATTTCTCCTCATCGAGGAACTGAAGTATCAGAAACACGAGCTCCCTGCTTAACGATGACATTGTACGCTGTTCCTATCGCCCCTGTCTATCGAATGGATCTACCAGGAATTCACCGCTTCATAATTTTCCGTCGCCGCCGACTAAATCCTATCCCTCCTGTCCAGGCACGATATTCACCAAAGCGTCGCCGGCTCTCACATCTGTCCGACACTGGAAAACTACCCACCGAACCTGCACAGCCTACAACTCGCCCGACAGCGCGCCCGCCCGCCCGCCTGCCCGCCCAAAGCTCGTCCGCGGAGAAGCGCACCGACCCGAAGCGCGCACGCACGACCACCAGGCCCGCCTCGTTCAAAACTCCGCGACTCAAAGATCCCCCGCGCGCTCGCTCGCCAAAGCAGGAAAAAAAGAGCGACACTGAAACCGAGGAGGAGGAGCAGGATGTCTTCTCATCGAGCTATCGGAACTGAGAGAGGAGAGGGAGAGGAGAGGAGAGGAGGAGCAGAGGAGCAGCGGAGCGGAGCAGCGCGGGGCGAGAGGTCGAGGCTAAACGCTTGGGAGGCCGGTGGCAGAACGTCTAGTAGCTGGGAGGGTGAGCTTGGACGAACGAAGACCAGGGAGCGTTCGGGGGAGCGTTCGGGACGAGCGCAGTGGCAGAGGCTGCCAGGGCGAGCGCAGTGCAGTGGCAGGCTGAGGAGCGAGGGAGCGAGACGCTGTGGCAGAGGGGCAGAAGAGGGGGAGAGCGCTGAGGGGGAGAGACAGAAGGGGGGCGCGGCGCGTGGGAGTGGCGGGTGCTATCGACCGCCCGATCTCGCTCGAGCGTGCTTAAATCGCAATCGCGACTCTTTCGTCTTTCCTCGCTCGGGGCTCCGGGAAAATTTACTTATCTCACATCATAAGTCGGTCAACACTATCTTTCTCACATACGAGCACTGTACTTATCCCCCATTTCTGCACGACTCGATCGGTACAAGCACTTATCATCCGAGAACCCCTGTGACCGGTCAGGCGGGGGAGGTCGGGCCCGGTGTCGTCTTGCCCTCCTTCCATGTAGAGTGCGGACGACCAGCCCTCATTGGCCGCCGACGACGCTGGGATTTGTCCACAGCGGCGATCTTCCCCCGATACCGGTTTCTCCTACCCCCCAGCCGGGACGCGCCACCGGCCCTCGCCAGCGACCGCTTTTGACTCCATGTCAGGGCTTTCGAACCGTCCGCTGCCCCAACAGAGCCATCGCTCGCCCGCCCGCTCGCCCGCTCGCCCGCTCGCTTCTTGGAAAAGTCCCTCGCCAGGACGCCCTTTACCGGCCGGGGTACCTCCTCCGGCGCGCTGAATACCCGCCGATGTGAGGCCGGCGGCGATTCCTCACCAGGACGTACATTCCCAACGACTATTGTGGAACCCAGGAGAATATTCCGTCCCCGGCAGGCGTAACTGCTTGCCGTCGAGCGAAGTACTCTGCGGCTGAGGAAGTCGTCGCGCGTTGAATGTTCTCCCGACGGCAACCTTTCTGCGGGAGGAAAAACCCTGGCTCGGTCCTAACACCAGCCCATGGGGGTTCAGAACCAATCACGGGCCGCGATTTTCAATACCTGTGCTCATCATTTTCCTTCACTGGAAAGACTATCCCGACACCGGTTACGAGATCCGAGCGCAGAAATGATAGGCCCGGCGAATTAAAATGTCCCCGTAGGTTAGGTCCTTCGAGGAGGCTTCGAATCCCAGACGTGAAGATAATCTGGCTGCGTTAATCATTTACCGGCAAGGGCCCAAAACTAGCCGGTTTGTGCTCGAGCGTATTTGCCGGTAAATGAATTAACACTTCTTTCATAACCGTCGAAGGCCGGCAATACAATCCCGAGCCCGGTTTATTGTACCGGGAAAATATAAGGAACTTCCCGATTCCCCAAAAAAACAATTCTCGTCACAGTGACCACTTTACCAGTGCAACATAACCACCTCGGTCGTTCAAATAATCATCGTGTAATTTTACCGGCCAATGTCGAAATGTTTACCGGCGATGGATCAGGTTTGAGGGTTGCAGAAGAGCCGGTTCTTGTTTAAATGTTTTCGCCGGCAGATGTTTGAACACTACATCTCCAGACGTACTTTATTCTCCATCTCCGCCGGCAAACAGAATCCCGGTTACGGGAAAAAGCTCCTGGCACTGAGAGGAACCTCCTGATCACAAAAATCAATTCTCTTCAAAGGAACCACCTCACGCCTGCAAGACAAACCACCTCGGGCTGTGAAATCATTCCCGTGGAATTTTTACCGGCAACATCGGTTAACTACCCGGCACTGGAACCAGGTGATGGGTTGCAAACCTTTCCGGCACGTGTCCAAGTGTTCTCGCCGGCGGAAGTTTGAAAACTACTTTCATCTACGTCGAGTGCCTGGATATACAATTCCGACAACGGGTAATAGTTCAAAGCAAAGGTACTTCACGACGTTACAAATAATTCGCTTCAAAGGGACCAATTTACAAGTGCAACATACACCACCTTGGGGTGTATGTTGCAAATCAACACCGTGAAGTTTTATCTTAACCGTCGGCAAATTTCCCGGCGATGGAAATAAGTGGTGGGTAGCAAAACCAGTCGGTTCGTGTTCAAATGTTTTTGCCAGTAGCAGGTTTAACAAAACTTCGGACCACGTCGATGGCCGGCAAATAGAATCGCGACTACGGGTATTGGTTCAAGGCAAAAAGGAATAACTTCCCGAAGAGACTGAAATTCTCGTAAAAGTGACCACTTCACGACTGCAACATACACCACCTCGGACGTTCAAATCATCACCGTGAAAAATGCCGGCACCCATCGGCTTAATTTCCCGCAATGGAACTTGTTGGAGAGTTACAAAACCTGCCGGTTCTTGTTGGATTGTCATCCCCGGAGGGGGAATTAACAAGGTACACCCACTCGGGAGTTCAAATCGTTACCGTGTAATCTTACCGGCAACCGTCGGATCATTCCCCGGAGATTGAACCAGTTGGAGGGTTGCAAAACTAGCCGGTTCGTGTTCAAGTGTCTTAGCCGGTGGAAGCTTACACTGCTTTGTTCTCCATCGCTGCCGGCACAATGAATTCCCGCTACCGGCAAATGGATCCTGGAAATGAGAGGAACATCCTGTTCGGAAATTTAATTCTCTTCAAGGGAAGCACTTCACGCAGGCAAGAGACACCATCTGTGGCTTGGAAATCACTGCCGTGACATTTTCCCGGCTTCCGACAGGTCATTCCTCGGCGATTGAACCAGGTGGATTGATGCAACACTAGCCGAGTTCGTGTTCAAGTGTTCTCGCCGGCAGGCGTTTCAACATTACTTCGGTAGACGTCGAAGGCCGGCAAATACAATCCCGATGACATATAATAGTTCCAGGCGAATAGAAGGAACTTCACGATATAAAATAATAATTCTCGTCAAGGGACCGCTTTACGCCTTCAAGAAACACCACTTCGGGCGTTCAGATTAAAACCGTGAAATTTTACCGATAACGTGGGACTATATCCCGGTATTTCCCGGAACAAGATGATGGGTTGCAAGAGTATCCGGTTCGTGATCAATTGTAAATGCCGGCGGACGATTTATTACTACATTGGTCTTCGTCGATTGCCGGTATATACAATCCCAATGACCGATAATATTTCAACACAAAGAGAAAGAACTTCCCGATGAAAGAAATGAAACCTACCAAAGAGACCTCTTTACGTCTGCAAGACCACCTTGGACATTCAAATCGTTACCGTGAAAATCTACCGGCAATCGTTTAAAGCTTTCCCGGCAATTGAAGGAGGAGTTGGGTTGGAAAAACTATAATATTGGTTAGCCGGGTAGTTTACCGGCAAGGGAGAGGGGCGGGGGGTGGCTGACTCTAGAGCTGATCTTTGTGGGACTACTCTATCGCCGCGAGATATATCCACCCGGGAGTTCATATTGGATACCGTGAAAATATCCCGGGGACCGTCAACGCTTCCCCGGGGAGGGAACCACTAGGTGGGATGCAAACAATAGCCGATTGGTGTTCAAGTCCAATCGCCGGCCTCCGTCTAAACACTATTTCGGCAACCGCCGACCCGGATATCACAAACCCGATACAGCGAAGTAATACCCGGCAACAAAAGAAAGTGGATGCCGCGAAAACTGACAACTCGTAATAAGAAATACTCGATGGGTGGGATAAATCCTCTTTGGTGCAAAAATCGTTTGCCGTTTAATATTTTCCCATGAATAACAACGGACAACTATTATCTGGCGGTTGTACCACTTGTTCGGTGCGAATGCGAGCCGATAGGTGTTCAAGTCCTCCTCAGGGAGATACTTGTAAAACTTTTTGTCTTATGTCTTCATCTTCCCGGCCGTTAGATTCAATCTCCATAAAATATTAGTTCTTGGCCTTATATTGTTTCTCCTCAAAGGTAACTTTCCGAGGGTTGCGAGATCACTACATTTGGAAGTGAAAAAATATGGTCTTTTTGTAAAACTATTGGGAAAGGAAAAACTAAATTTTAGTGCAAATACAGACCGATTGGTGTTCAAGCCCAGTTTTGAAAGAGCTGTTTTATTACCGCCAAAAAGAGGGTTAATTAGCACAAAAATGAACCCCAAAAAACAACAACTCCTGTTCACCTTCTATATAGGGTCGAAGTTATGCTTTGAGCACAATCTCTGATATCTATATCAGAGATTGGGTGAGCTTGGATGAACCAGCCCTCCATGGAAAGGACTCGGCGCTCTTGTGTACTAGACTCGTGCGAGGTACACAACAATTGGTGTTAATTTCTATCTCCCCATAATGTATCCGCGGTTGAGACAACTCTCTGGTAGGAGAGCGGGTGAGCTGGGCCTAACGTTGGACAGGACCTTGGTGCGTAGGACAGCGACACGTTTTATAACTTACTGTATTCAACAGCAAACAGGGAATCCAAATCCCGAAGCAAGGAAATAACTCCCAAATAGAAACAGGTGCCTCAAGTTTACCCTCTATGTTAGATAGGAAATATCTTTTAAACGCAAACCCAACTCTGATATAGAGGATGGGCAGGAACTGACCCTCTCGGAACAGAAAGGACTCGGCGTTCTCTTGTACTGTACGCGTGCGAGCACAACCCCATTGGTGTTATTTCCTATTATTTTATCCGCGGTTGAGGCAACGATATCTCTGGCAGCAGAGTTGGTGAGCTGGGCCGGACGTAGGACAGGAGCCTTGGTGCCATGTACACCCCATGGGTGATGAAAACACCCGCCGGGAAGTATTATCCAATATCCGAAAGAAACGCTGCTTCGGCATATTCACGCTAACGGATGTGGCGTCAAGTTGCCGGCAAGATGGTAACAATTATTTATAACCTTTCTTGTCGAGAAATGCAATCTCGACCCCCTCAACCGGTTTCCAGCAAACAAAGAATAGTTTTGTTTTATTTACACAAAAACAAAAATTCAACAAACATTTTGTCGTGTGAATTAATCTATGGGTGTGGATACAGCCCTATGAATGTACAGATAGATGCCGGCAATATTTCCTGGTTAAGGTATCGTTTACCCGGAACAAAGACAATGCCCATTCCGAGCTAATTCAAGACGATAGATATGTGGATGTAAACCTTCCTTTTAGGCATGTATAATTTGTTCTGAAAACTTGTGTTGCCGAAAAATACATTTCCGACATCTACTGATCCCAGAGAGGAAATAGTAGTTCCCGGGGACCGAAATGAACTACTCAGCCGGTTTTCTATCCATCAACTTAGCTGTAGAAATAAAAGCGGAAAAAGAACGGAACGGTCACATATAGCGGCAGCAGAGACTTCCGGATTTTGAATTCACTATCGTGTAGGAAGATACTCTTTGCGTGCGCGATGCACGCCGTTGGGTGTTGAAATCAACCACCTGATAATACTGTGTATTCGACGTGATCTGTTTCCCGGCATAGAAAACAGTCGTTAGTTGTGACTGTCTTCTTTCCATGTTTACATCCTGATGGGTCTTGATAACCAATCGGTGGCGATGCATGATATCATCATCACCCTCAAGGCCAGGAAATTCATTGCCATTACCAGAAAATAACTTAACAATATTAGAAGGTCCCGGCAGCAGAAGAAAATCCAGACAGGAAATATTTCTCCGAGGCCGCTAGATAAACCCCAGTTGGATGTGGAAATCACTTGGCAGGAATTTTTCCGCGAGAACGGA